AGTTGGAGGTTGCTGTGAGCTGTAATGCCACGACACTCTACCCAGGGGGACAGCTTGAGGCTCTGTCTCAAAAAAAAAAAAAAAAAAAAAAAGATGAAAAAGGTGGCTGTTTGCAGTGGCTCACACCTTAAATCCCAGCACTTTGGGAATCCAAGGCAGGAGGACTGCTTGAGCCCAGGTGTCTGAGACCAGCCTGAGCAAAAGTGAGAACTCATCTCTCCAAAGAAAAATTAGCCAAGTGTGGTGGTCCCAGAAGTTTGAAATTACAGTGAGCTATTTTTACGCCACTGCACTTCAGCCTGGGCAACAGAGTAAGACTGTATCTCAAAAAAAGAGAGAGAGAAAGAAAAAAAAGAAACAAAAGGCATTAAATTTATGGGTGGGAGACATGAACAGAAACCCGTCTGATTTGGTTTGGTAGTACTATGAGAGCATGCACTGGGGAGTCTTGGAACACATCCCCAACATAGATAAGGGAAGACTATTGTACCCTATTTTATAAGACAACAGTCTGTAGAACTTCCTTGGGTATTTCTGGTAAAGATATCTATTGGTTTGCCTACCCAGTACAGTACCCATTTCTGGTAACCCAGACCTGAGGGGACAAGGGCACCCTCTTGCCTACATAGTCCACATAATTTGGGCAGGCTGACCTCACTTCCTGCCACACAGTAGGAACATGACCAAGCCTGGCCAGAGTAAGGTACTGCTATGGGTTCCAGAGAGCCTCTGGGCAAACCCAGGGCCAATGAGAGGCTGCCTCCATTGAATTCAACCCAGGAGTGAAAAGAGCCAACTGGAGAAAGACCCTGAGCCTGAGATGGGCCTTTCCTAAAACCACTATCAAATTATCTTTTTAATTTGAAGCAGTTTGAGTTGTTTCTGATTCCTGTAACATAATGCATCTTATTATTCTCCACTGAAGACAAAATCTCTTCCCCTCAGCCCCAACACCAAAGACAAAATATTCACCAAAATAAGAGCCTTTATAATGTTTTTACAGAGTTGGGGAGAGAAAAAATTGGACATAAATAATCATTATTTACAACTTCCAACAGTCACCCCTTCCAAAGCGTTTACGGCAGAGATTGGGCGCCACCAAGCAAAACATCCAGGCTCTGACTCCATGTGCGGGTGGAGAAGGGACAGTTCAGGCCTAGAAATAAAATGAGTAGGAAGTATCAGAAGGGATACCCTCCTCCGCAGAAAGCAGAAATTAGCGGAGAAGCTCTTGCAAAGGCTCTCCACTGTGACCTCATTAAGCCCATAAGTTTTCCTAAGTGAAGACAGCAAGCAGCTCAGGACAACAGCAAGAGGGACACAAAACAGAATTAAATCAAAATTGAGAAATGGCTTAAAAACTTTCCAGAGACTCTACTCTCACTTCTCAGACAGAATGAAGGTGGGCTACAGAGGTAGCAGGGCTGCATTTCCCCGCGTGGCAGTGTGAAGCGGGCGTACGGGGAGCTGCGGCTACCTCCTGGGCATAGACCGAAGGAGCAGATATGACGTAAATCCCTCGAGAGTCTTCATCTTCAGGCAGATTCCAATCTACAGACGAACTGTGGGAAGAGAGAAATAAGGAAAGGTCCAAGCCCTTGAAATTCTCAGACCTTGTTTTCTGTGTCCCTCTCAGAGGTGAACCAAAAGCGGTATGATGAGAGAACCAATCAGGATGATGCATCAAGGAATCAGGTCAATTGCACCTTGGAGATTCCGCAAGCAGTCAATAACGACCAGGTGTACGTCTGCGGCCCAGCCCCTCACCTCTGGCAGTCTTCGCAACCTTCCTGCGACCTCAGATTGTTGAGTGCATCAGGGAGTGCGTGGGCCGGTGGCTCCGGAGTCCCCGCCAGTAGGCGGGACCCAGTATCCCGGCTGTGGCCACGGCGGCGCACGTGGAACAACAATAGCGCAGCTCCGGCCAAACCAGCAGCCGCCAGTAGTCCCAAAGCTGGAGGTAAAAGGAAGCGCTGCGGGTCCCCCCGCCTCAGACCTGGTGGCACTGCGGGCAACGCGCCTGCGCCGTCCGCGCCGTCGGGGTGAACTGGGAACTCACAGCGCGCGCCCATATAGCCGGGCGCGCAAGCGCAGACCAGGCCAGAGAAGTGGGCGTAGCAGCGGCCCCCGTGGGCACAGGGGCGCGCCGCGCACGGGTCCGCCCGCTCGCGGCAGTCGCGGCCGCCGAAGCCCAGCGCGCAGGAGCAGCGGCGCACGCCGCCGCCCTCCACGCACGTGCCGCCGTTGGCGCAGGCACGGCCGGCGCAGTCGTCTAGGTCGTGTTCGCAGCGTGGACCGGCGAAGCCGGTCCGGCAGCGGCAGCGCAGGGCGTGGCCCAGGTCCAGGCAGAGCCCTCCTGTGGGGAAGGGGGCGTCAGAGGGTGCGGCTCCAGGTTAGGGGGTCCCTCATGCCCGCTCACGCTTTTTGTCAGCTCTCTAATTGCCTCCCCGGTCCCCTTTCTCTAACTCAAGAACCTGCCCTTTGGAGTTTGCCTGAAAAGCCAGCTGGCTTCTTTATCTACCTGATGAAGTCTTGATATAATTCAGCGTCGCCTTTTTTTGGCTCTATGTGTCTCTCTTTCTCCTGACTTCATTTTTTTTTTTTTTTTTTTTTGGCCGGGGCTGGGTTTGAACCCTCTACCTCTGGCATATGGGGCCGTCACCCTACTCCTCTGAGCCACAGGCGCCACCCTCTCCTGACTTCAGTCATACTTAAAGAGTTAACAGTTCCCAGAGTTTGAACCGCCTGACCTTTGCCCATGCCTCTTGCTTAAAATGACCCCCTTTTCTCCCATCTTTAGCACCTTTTCCCTTCCCTGGCTCACCCTTCAGGTCTTTAGTCAGATGTCCCTCCAGGAAGCTTCTCTGACTCTCCTCCATCCCGGCCCTGATCCCTGTGCCCATTGTTCCCCGAGTTGGCCCTGACCACTCTAGGCTGAGAATGAGTCTGTCTTCCGCTCTGAGCTGGTACCCGTTCCCCTGAGGGCAGAGCCCAGAGCCGTCCAGATTACTACTGTGTCCCTAGTACCACTAATCCCAGAGTGTTTTGGAGGGAATTATATCCACTCCCAAGAATTTCCCAGACTCTTCTTTTTTTTTTTTTTTTTTTTGAGAC